TGACTGAACTTTGTCACCCAAAATCGAAAAAGAAATTTAAGTGCTGTGCTAGAGTTTCAGGGTCCTGATAAACAAGAACTGGGTTTGACCTTTCTTTTCGGCCTTTGAGATGCCACAAGGGATAGTCCTCTTTGTTCACGATGACAAACTTCCTCTGAGATTTCAGTTTGTCAGCTCAGTGTACAGCATCAGCATCGATTTCATCTCACTGCCATTTCCTGCCTGAATAGATAACAAATTTTCTGTGGCAGGTGCCTGTCAAGCTAAAGTTTTGTCTGGCAGATTAACGGAATAGGCTCATTTATTAATCATTAGTTGCAACACAATGAAACAATCTTTAACTCTTGTGCTGTTGGATCAATGTAATGATTAGGGACCATTTCAACCTTCCATGGAATTGAGATGTAATAGCATTTACGTACATCCACAATGAATGTTTCTAATAATCTACAGCTATTTCAGTTGTACTGTATCTATATCACTCTATAGATTTAACAGGATAGATGTTATTTATATTAAATACTGTATGCTTTTAGAACTGTAGGCTTGGTGTTTTATTTGATGTGCTTGTTGTTATGTTGTTCTTTGTGCTCCTCTATCTCCACCTGTTGTCTTGTTTTATATGTTGAGGGCAAACTTTAGGATAAACACCATCTTTTTGTTCTGTATTTGTGTCCTGTGTCGACCACCTTGAAGTTCTGAATGGTGCCTTGGGTTCTTACATGCTACCAAAATACAAATATAATAATAATATGGAGTGTTGTTGTAGCCATGTCAGTCCCAGGTTATTAGAGAGACGGTGTTGGTGAGGTAATATCTTTTATTGGCCCAGCCTGGTTAGTGAGAGAGACAAGTTTTTGTGCTTACACAATTCTGAAGAATTCTGTATACTCCAAAGTTTGTCTCTCTCCAACAGATATAGGTCCAATAAAAGATATTTTTCATCCACCTTGTCTCGCTCATCATCATAATTATCCATTTTGGACAATAGAGATAATACATTTGCAATCAACCCCGTTATGCCATTTTTAGTGTCCCTTGAAGACGGTTAGCATCCCTTCACTTGCGGATAATTATGTGTGACAGTACATGTTACCCACCTGTGCCTCCTCAGGCTGCGTTTTGGCCTGAGTGATGTGGTACTTGAACCATCTTTATGGCTTTTTTGGATAAAAGTCAAACTGGGAAATTCTCAGCAGTAGATCATAGAGTTACTGCTCTTACAGGCCACTTTGGTAACAAATACATTAACCTCTAAGCAGGGAACATGGTGAACAAAGTTAAAAACTGCTGTAGTGAAACCAGTCCTTTAACAACAGTGTACACAAAGTAATCCTTACAGATTTATAAATGTAATAAGCCATAGTTCCCTGAGTGAACAATAACTGTTCCTAATTTAGCCAGCCAAGGATCATGCCAAGCTAATTTGCTTATGTGACTTTTTTTTTCTTTATCCCCTCCAGATTCCTTTTTCTCTGGTGCAATTTCCCCTTTGGGAGTCCTTAAAGGTAAGACCTGTTCGTGAGTCGAACCTGTGACACGTTAGAAATGTGTGCCTCTTAGATGCTTCTATGCTAGCTTATCTAACTTTGTTAACCACAAATACGGACACTTCAGAGAATGCATGAACAAAGCTAGTTTTGCATATGAAAATGAAAAATGACTGAAAAATGACCGCACTCTACTGCAGAGGTGGGGTATTTTTTCTCTGTCAGGGCCTCTGACCCCCAGAAAAATCAGTCTTGGTGCCACACACAAAGAAAGAAACAGAAAGAGAAAAAAAGAAACCTTACTCAACTCACCTGTAGTCAGGGCGCAGGATTAACTATTTGTGGGGTCAAAAATGAGGGGTGCGATGGGAGGGTGTTAGTGCAGGATGAGTGAAGGCTCCAACAGGAGGTGCGCCACTGGGGTACGGCTGGAGATAAGGCATTTGGGACGCAGAAGTGAGTTGTAGGCTGGAGCCAAGGGGTTTGGAGTGTAGGACTGGGCTCTGGACAGGAGGTGGAGGTGCGGGTGTGGGGTCTGGGCAGGAGTTAGGGACTTAGGATGCAAGAGGAGGAGGCTCAGGGCAGGGGTAGGGTGTTGAGCGGTTAGCTGGGGCAAGTCCCCTTTGGTGGGGTGGGAGGAAGCAGGTGGCTCAGCGTGGTCCGTGCTGCCCTTTGCTTGCCTGCAGATGCCCATTGGTTGGGATTCCCAGCCAATGAGAGCTGCAGGGGCGGAGCCTGCAGGGGAGGGCAGAGCAGCACACATAGATGCCCCCGGCCAGCTAGGACTGGATGACACCCAGTGGCTTTAGTGCCTCTAGCCCAGGGTCCCAGGCTAAGGGGGCCTTGCAAAAAGATCTGGTTTTTTGGTGGCCTTGAGATCTTTTTTGAGGGGATCTCCCCCTTAGCTCAGGGCTGCAGCCCCTAAAGCCCCTTTCTTAATCCAGCCCTGCCTGTAGTGAGAATGTGCTTGGGGCATTTGTGCTCCAGCCCCACATGGGAGCACCCAGCCTTGGGGCTTCCAGCCCATGATATGGAGACTCGCTGCAGGCCAGATCAAATAAAGCCGGAGGCCAGATCCAGCCTGCAGGCCAGATCCAGCCTGCAGGCCAGAGATTCCCCACCCCTGCTTTAATGTATGTCATGCAAACAAATCCCTGTGCTTTGCACTGACAATAAATACCCCAGAAGTTTTGTTTGCTGTTCTACCTAACTGCATCGATTTTAAAATCGTCTGGGAGCCATCAGTGTGGTCTGAATTTGCAACATCTTGCTCCTGGAGGTAAACAGGAAATTGTGAGCTGTGCAGAGGAGACTGATTAAATAACATGGTTGTCTCAGCTGAGAGTTGTCCACGTTATGGCATTGGTGGGGTGCTCTGATTGGCTTTGGACCAGCTATTTGAAAGGCTGTTTAAAGAACCTGTATCTCCAGAGAGACTTCGATAGAGCAATTTTCTAGAATGATGCAACTTGATAGGAATGTTAATCCCGCTGGTTGGTGGCACTGCGTATAGAAGACGAAACTGCTGTCTCACAGGAGCAATCAGAGCCTAGTGCTTTTACAACACAGAATTGGATTCATGAGCTCAGGGCTCTGTGTCTAGCTGTGTGACTTGCTATTAGTAGGTCAAGTATCAGAGGGGTAGCCATGTTGGTCTGGATCTGCAAAAGCGACAAGGAGTCTCGTGGCACCTTATAGACTAACAGATGTATTGGAGCATAAGCTTTCGTGGGCATAGACCCACTTCGTCAGATGCATGTAGTGGAAATTTCCAGAGGCAGGTATAAATATGCAGGCCAGAATACGGCTAGAGATAACGAGGTTAATTCACTCAGGGAGGGTGAGGTCCACTTCTAGCAGCTGATGTGGAGGTGTGAACACCAACAGAGGAGAAACTGCTTTTGTACTTGGCTAGCCATTCACAGTCTTTGTTAAATCCTAAACTGATGGTGTCAAATTTGCAGATGAACTGTAGCTCAGCAGTTTCTCTTTGAAGAAACCTACATTAGTAGGTCGTGTTATTTTGGTGCGCCCCGGTTTTCTCATCAAATGGGGAAGCTGTTAGTTCCCCTCCTCCCGTGGAGGTTAACAGTCGTCAAGTGTTCCGATGTCCTTTCACGGAAGGCCGACCAGACGGGCCAAGTATTGTTGCAGCATGCTGCAAATGGATTACTAGGATTTCATATTTATATGATGGATGGGGCATTGGGGTTTTGTTTTGCAGCTCATTGTTCTAGGGGGGTTTGTCCCTTGGAAAGGGAAGCTGCCCAGGCTCGTGCCTTTTGATTGCTCCCCCTCGTTAGCTCTCTGCGGGGTGCCAGGATTTCTGCCAACCTCGCCTGGCCATTCTGGCTCAAGATGGGGCACTGTAGTGCCTGAGGAAGAAGCGCTTAGAATCGATTGTCATCCAAATGGCAGGCAGAGAACAGAATGGCGTTAGCAGGTTAATGGAGACCTGTACGAGCACAGAAGCTTGCCAAGGGGGGGAGGAGGCAAAGGGGGCAGCGGCGCCTGGTGATTTAAAAGGGCCGGGACTCCTGGCCAAGCTCCAGGGCCTTTAAATTGCTGCTGGAGCCACTGGCAGTACAGTCCAGGCTATGCAGAAGGGCTGGTTGGGGGAGGTTCTCACTAGCCTTGTCCCTTCCGCCCGAGGCCCCGCCCTTTCCAGAAGGGCTCGTAGCTGCCCCTCCCCTGCATCTTTCCCAGGGGCCTGGCATTTGTGTCCTCAGCCCTGCAGACTCATATCCGTCTGACTCACTGACCTTTCAACATCTGGTTTTGCCCTGAAAAGGGACACGTCAGACTATTGAAAACTTTTTGCAGCATGAAAAGATGTGAAAAACGTTGCTTCAGAAATGCCCAAATGAGTCTTTCTGAGATTTCCAATGGAAACAAAAACATGTTGTGTCGATTTTTTTCCTATGGAACAGTTACCGGTGCCACAGCCACGGAGCCTCGTGTCTCCCATTGACCCTGTTTCGCCATTTACAGCCCAGGGGAGCTGTGGGAAGTGGTTCCCGGCCCCTGCTGCTTTCCACAGCTCCCCTGGGCTGCAAATGGCGGAACAGAGCCCATCGGAGCCACGAGGCTCCATGGCCACGGCGCTGGTAAGTAAACACACTGGAGCAGCCAGTTAACAGCTTTCTCGTAGTGGTTTTGCAGACCGCTTTGAGAAACACTGCTGTAGAACAACAAGAACATGTCAATATTGTCATTTTTTTCCACAACAGAAAATTGGATGTTGTCAGTGGCCCGTATTTCATTGAAGATATGTTTTCTGGTAAAAAATGTGACCAACTCTGATGTCCGTTTACCTGGCTGACAGGCCCAGGGTTTAGGGGGCCAGTGGCAGTCGTCTTTTTTACTCCCACCACAGCTGTTCCACTCGGGACACGCTCTCTGACTCCTCACAGTCACGCGTTTCTCTGGAGAGGCATTTTAACTAGGGGTGTTAGCATATAGTCACTTAAACAATTAACCGATAAGCCTAGGCTTATTGGTTAATCCAAATGACCACATATAACACCCCTCCCTCCCCCTTGCTGCCTCTGCATTGGAGGCAGCAAGGGGAGGGGGTGGCAGGCAGAAGCCAGTACCTGTGGGGAGCCAGCTTTAAGCTGGCTCCACCTGTGTGCTGGTTCCTGCGGAGTTGCCTGCCCTGTCCCCGTTGCCTCCCATAGAGGCAGCATATCAGGAGGCAGGCGGGAGCCTGTACTCTGGGGGAATTGGCTCTGTTTCAGAGGCAGCAGCGCAGGGTGGGTGGGGAGTGGGATCCCGGAGCAGCCTTTGTCCACGGGAAGCCTGGGCCCCCCATGGACAGAGGCTGCTGCTTCCCTGTGCTGCTTCCTCTGTATCAGAGGCAGCAGCACGGGCAGCAGGGGGAGCTGGTCTGTGCGGGGAACCGGTTTTTAAACTGGCTCCCCTAGTGGGCTGGCTCTGCTTTCCACCCTGTGCTGCTGCCTCTGATACAGAAGCGCACTGGCTGCTGGCCCTGCCCCCCAGGGAATATTTTAGTAACCGTAAAAAATAGTTGTGGTTGCATGATTATTAAAATACACACTATCTAGCATCCCTAGGTTCAACAGCACATCCCTAGATCAGCCTGGCTCTGCCTCTTTTTGGATCTACTCCATCCATTTCTGGTACTGCATGGGGAATGATTGTATTTTTGTATGGATTATGCCACAGCCCCCTTCCTCAGTGCAGGGTGGTGATGGCACAATATCTATTTTGACACGAATCCCTGTTATCTGTTGGATTGTGGTAATGCCTAGAGGCCTCAATCAGGGCTGCATTAGGAGCCACCCACATAGAAAGAGAAGATGGTCACTAGCAGGAGAGACTGAGGATTGGCGTAATAAGCAGCATGCCAGCTGCCGAGCGTTTTGTAGGGATCTCCGCACGCTGTCCTCATGGCGATGCTATCCGAATGTGGTATCTGGGAATTGTCCTGTCACGCAGGGTAATTTCAGCTGCCTTATTAGGAATCTGTTTTTATGCCAAAGTACGGGAGCAGCTTTCAGTGAACTCGAAGGCCGTCGAGCTGACGTGACATTGTAATCGCTAGTGCAGTATCATTGTTCTGGAAACGCCAGCCGGCGATATAAAAAAGTGCCCTGTGCTCTCCAGACCACATAAAGCAGGAACACGATGTAGCTCTTCACAGACCGCCAAGCTGTTTGAACAAACTTTCACGTAGCTGTGGTGATAAAATGTATTGTTTAAAACCTAGGCTGTAAAGGTGACAGTTTGAATTTAGCTGGCTAAGTAAACAAGCCATTTAGGATTAGACAGTGCATATCATTTAAATGGGTTAGTGGATATTTCCCGTAACACTTGGACTGGATAGCTCATACCGTAGCCCAGTTTCAGTATATTGCTCAACAAATAACCTGTTGCTGAGTGTAGGGAGTTTAAAATCCTGCATACATGGGTCAGCCATTTCCATTTCAACATCTTGATAAAGAGCTGTCAAAGTCATAGCCATGAAAGCAAGAGCCCTGGCAATAGAAGTGACT